TCGTACCCGGAGGCGGAGTTCGCAAACTGAAGCAAAATTTTGTGGCCGGAGCTGGTCGTAACCCAAAAAGTTCGTGAACAGAAGCATTCGTAACCCGAGGTTCCACTGTACTGCCTACCTGATCCACATTCCCCTGCTTGCTCATCTTAGGGCCATAGAGAAGAGTCTGACTTCTCTTTACATTCCTTTGTGGGAAGGAGGGCCTAATTTTTTGTTCTGAAATATCCCCATGAAAGTCAGGATTGAGATGTTGACCTCTTTTGCCTTCTGAGAGTCTGGGGCAGGGGGTGGGCCAGATAATTTTGCTACTTTCTTTTCTTTTCCTTTTTGGAGGGGGGAACTATAAAGAATCATGCCACTGAAGTTTTGCATTTTTGCCAATTTGGGGGTGCTCTGGGGCCAGAAAAATAGGCAGAGCTTTTTTTCAGAGAGACCACAGAATGTCTACCTGTGGTTTAAATAGTTCATTTTTAATTGTATTGCTGTGGATATAGATTATGCTTTATTGAAACTCAATTTAAAAGGGACCTGTGTCTTTCCCCCTTTCCTTTCTGTAAAAGAGGCACTTGAAACTTCTGGATAACAGCTGTATCTTCTTTTCAGGCATCTGTGGGAGAATCCATTTCCTTTCCATTATTTTTATCTGGGATGTATGTGCAAGATATATGCTGCCATAAGGGGAAGGATACTGATTTGGACAACACTTGCCAAAGCAAGTAATCATAAGGCTCTTTGCTGAAAGATCTTTATGGCCAGGTGAAATTGCGGGAGTTCTGTTTGCTGTTTAAACAGAGGCACCTTGGTGTGACGGGGCTCTTCGCTGAGAAGCTGCTGACTCCAGAAAGCATCCTGTTTCCTTATCAACACTCTTTATGGTCGGTTTTGTAAATGTTTTATGAGCCGCCAATGATTGCGCTGGAGAAGAAGAGGCTAGTGAGGACACAGTGGGGAGGGCTGTTTGTCACTTTCTTGGTACTGTTGACAAAGGATCAGAGGACAGATTATCTTCATGATAAGATGGGTAGAGAGGAGCCCAGGAAAAGCCAGCAGTGGCTCTTTGCACATTTATTGAGCTAAAAAAAAAAAACTTTCCTGCAGAACACGCCACAAATCTGGAGAGCCTGATTCACTCAGCCCATTTATTTCATCCCCATTTTCTTCACATGGTGGAGCTAGGCCCAACTGAGCTGAAGATAGTTATTAACTCATTTTGACCTTCAACAGTGACTCCATGGACCCTGAATACTGAGTATCTAAATAATATCGTTTCATTCAGTAATTATCCATTACTCCAGTCAAATCAGGATAGAAACCCATGGCTGTCTAGGTCTAGCTGAACTATAACGCTCAGCAATCCAGCCAGTGTGGTCAATGCTAAGAGTTTACGAGGGAAGTTTAATCATGTAAATATTTCTGTTGCAATGCAAAAGATTGTGTAGTGTTTATTTGATTAAATGATACTATACATAATAAATAAATATTGTTAAGATTATAAAAACTAAGTGGGTTAAGGACAAAGATGTACCTGAATTCCATCCCTGAAGCCACAGAATTCATGCATAAATTAAGATCTTTCCAGCAGCATAAATATGGGAATAATAGAGTAAAAACTACCTAGGGGCCTGCGGGCACATGTAGCCCCACAGAGTTCTCCCTTGCCACCCACCCCTTGCCTCATGCTTTTAATAAAACTGATCATGCAGTGTAGGACTATCAGACTTGTGATGCAAGACATGTGAATGAAAAATCAGCTGTTCCTGCACCAGTTCCTGGGGGCTTCCCTGGTTATCCTTGTTGAATGCTGTCTGTTCTTTCCCCTGTCCCGCTTTGTGTGTGTGTGCATGCGTGTACGTGTGTGTATGCGTGCATGTGTGTGTGTTTATTTATTTGAATATGGGGAAAGAAATAGGCATGCCATTTCTGGACTGCCAACATCTGGATGACCACTAGATGGCAACCAAAAACTATAGAAAACACGAACGTTTTGCTACCATCTAGCAGTTGTCTGGATTTTTGCATGTCTATGAAGGTCTACCCTAAATAGGAAGGTGAAAGGAGGTCCCTCCTGAGTCTAATGCTCCCTCCAGGACAATGTTTCTCAATCTTAGCAACTTTAAGATAGGTGGACTTCAACTCCCAGAATTCCCCAGCCAGCATGGCCGGCTGGGGAATTCTGGGAGTTAAAGTCCACCTATCTTAAAGTTGCTAAGATTGAGAATCACTGCTCTAGGAGGAGGGAATGGATACTTTGGGTGACTGAGATGATGAGAGATCGCAGAGGGCTAAGACTCTCCCTCTCTCTTTCTCTTGTCACGGGTCTGGACGTAATAGGGATTGAATCTGGAATTTTGGGCATGCGAAGCAGGTGTTCTCCCACTGAATTATAGCCTAGACCCACCTGAAAAATGTGGAGAGAGGATTCAAAGATGCTTCGTTCCCCAGTGGATCCAATCCAACTCCACCACTGATCCCAGTCTTGGGACTTCTTTTTCCCCTTCCCTTCCCTGGTCCAAAGAGTTGAAAATACTGGAAAATGATGGGCTAAAGTGCCCTGCAAAATTCCCGCCTCTAGCTCTGGCCAGCAAAGGCAAAGGAGATAATGCAGTTTGTCTATCATTCCTGTCTTTGCTATCATAATTTATCACAAAGTATAGGCCAACCATCTTCTGATGCACTCTGATTATATTGAGATTACAATATAATTACTATGCTAGGTGGGAATTCTGGGAGAGAAAACCCCAAAACACCTAGGGGACTGGATTGGGAAAGTTGCTTTAGGTGTTTACTTATTTATTTTAGAAGATAAAACCATCATGATGAGAACAGTGGATTGTGTTCTGATGTACATGTAGCATTTTTACCATCACAGGGCACGAGAGTTGCTTGCTGTTTGGAGTGGATCAATCTGGATTTAGAAAGAGGAATCAAAAATATCATTTCTATATAACAAACCAAACAGTACATTATGTCATTTTTCTCCAGTCAGGTGTCCTGCAGAGATTGGACTACACTTTCTATTGGCTATACTGAGAGGGCACCAACAGGTCTTCAAGTGGAGATTATTTAAGTCTATAATTTTGCTAAATGTATAACTAAGATGATGGAGTTTCTCAGAAGAATTATATTCATAATACTGTGCCATGAGTACACAAAGGCAGTCTTGATTTCTACATGTTTTGTTGGAAGTGGGAGAAAAGTTAATTGGAGAGAGAGGTCCTGGGAGTTATCAAAGTTTAAGCTGCATCTGTTGTCACAGCCATCTGTTAAATTATTTTAATAGCAATCTTAAATGCCACTGAACTCACAGATTGGAAAACTATCTGTTGGCATATATTTAGTTGTATAATTAAAGAACAAATAAAAGAAAATTAATGGTATATTTTTAAAAATCAGGAATCTGCTCATGTGTGACGTTAAGTATTTTTGCAATCAAATTCTTTTACTAATTCCTAAGGCTTTTAATTTTCTTTGTACTGGGAAAAATCCAAAATCATCTTGTTGACTAGATGACCACCAAATTTGGCTTGTCTTACATGTATATTAAAAATCTCAACAATTATGTATTGTTTTATATTTACAACAAAAAAATAAATTTGACCTAATTTAAATGAAACTATTTACACTCATTTTAAATAAATAAGTTACAGTTAATATTGCTGTTCTTCATGCATTTAATAATTCTCGTCTTCTGTCACATTAAAGAAATCAAGTTGCTGCTGTCTTTTAGAAGAGCAAATTCTATGGGCCACCTGCTGTACACCTTGAGTGTGGATAAGACTGACCTAGATGGATGAATAGTCTCATTTAAAAACAAAACAAAACAGGTTTTTATGTTCCTTTATAAGATGGATTCATTGTTTTTTCAATCCTTTATGTACTTTAGGTACTGTAAAGCATTCAGTTGGTTGAAAATGGGCATAAGAAAAGCCTTGCTGGAACCTGTTTCCATACCAAATCCCACTGGATACCTCCCTCCCAGCACCTTTATCCTTTGTTGTTTCTAAGCAACTAGTATATGGAGGGTTCCTGCTCCTTAATGTGGCAGCAGAATATAGCCAACATCTAGGTAGCCATTTGGTATAGTAGTTAAGGCACCAGGCTAGAAACCGGGAGACCGTGAGTTCTACTCCCACCTTAGGCACAAAGCCAGCTGGGTGACCTTGGGCCAGTCACTCTCTTTCAGCCCTAGGAAGCAGGCAATGGCAAACCACTTCTGAAATCTTGCCAAGAAAACTGCAGGGACTTGTCCAGGCAGTCGCTGGGAGACAATGCTGACCTGAAAGTGCACACACACACAATCAGCTCTCCTCCTCCTCGTAGCCATTAGTAACCTTATCCTCATACGGCGATACCAGGGGATTGAACTAGACATAATTTGTACCACTACTGATTTGCAAATGTTAAGGTTGCAGACACTTAAAAAGTATTTGGAAGAAATGCTTCACACCCTGCATGAGCACAGCATCTGTCTGCTCTCAATTAAAACACCTCAACTTTTTTTCAGTCTCACATGGAAGGTGTGTGAATCTGAAAAAAAAGACGCCACAGCTTTAAAGAATCTATTTTATTAAATTAGCATGACTCTTCAAATAGCATTACCGTTTTTCAAACTGACACAGAAATCTGAAAAAATTTGGGTTGTTTTAACAAATAGCAGAGAGGTGCTATGCTTGCACACAGTCAGAAGCATTTAATAGATGTATCAGAGTTTGTAGTATAGGAAGCATTTCTCATATTCACGCACACTTAGCTTCTTTAATGTCAGATAGGTCTGCACGAGAACACCCCTTTCTACTAGCTGCCCTTCATCTTTGCATTCAAATGATCCGGGTCATTTAAAAAGCATATAAATATTTAAATGTTCTGAACCTATTCTGTTGATACAGTTCTGTAAGTCCATTAAATAATCATCAAAATCATCTCTCTGGACCCAGTCAAAAGATCTGTGGTTCTTGGTTAAAATAATGCTCTCTGATCTCTATCAGTATCTAGAGAACATCAGCCTCCAAAGTGAGCAATGTAATCCCTGGGCTGACATTTCTGAAGTTAAATTTACCAGACAACATAAAGACTTTTTGCTCTTCACCTGTGAGGTGATAGTATATAATCCTGTGCTTTGTTGTTAGCAGGGAGATTAAAATAGATTAAATTTAGATAAACAGACTAACTAGCCCAAGGTCATTTGGCTTCTCACCAGTACGTTCACATGGCTTTTGCTTAGGATATTTTAACTAAAGCTAACCATGAAGCTCTTTTAATAATCCAAATTTTGCCAATTTTTGATGAGATTTTTGCCTTCTAACTCTAACTACAATGGGCTTTGTAAACAAGCAAGACTGGGATAATCACATTCTTACCTGGAAATAAATCCCAGTGAACGAACTGAGACTACCTTCTAAATAAGCAATCAGAAGATCAAGGTCTTTGCAACATGTTCCAGCTTCTGTCTCTTGAGAAGTGAGTTCCGCTGAGAAACATTGGACTTACTTTTATGTAAGAAATATAGTATTTTAGTCTGAATTCATGAAAAATTTTTCAAAATCTTCTAAAAATAAAGATCAAGATGGTTTTTCAGTCATATTGAACATTTGTGACATGTTGAGACAAAAATCAGTATCAGTTATTGATTAAAGTTATTTTAAAATAATGCCAAATTTCTAAAGCTTATAGATCAGAAACATTTGTGCCAACGATTAATGAAATAGATTTTGTTAAAAGTTCATTCTCTTAATCTACTAGGTATCCTGTCCTAACAACGCTTACAATATGCTTCTTTCCAGCCAGTGGGGACCTGGAATTTATTTAGTGCTTTTAAGCATATAAAACTTTGCAGACAAAACAAAACATAGCCATCTTATTTCTCTAGAACACTACTATCACCTATCTCTAAGGGTATGTTTTTATGATTCTTCAATAAGACGTGCACATGATTTGCCTCTAATTAAGTCTGGATTTAATAGTTTCCTAAAGAGTATAATTTAATTGAGATGTCAACAGTTGTCACCTCTTTAAATTAAGAGTAATTTGCTTTTATAGCACTGTATAAAGATATCAGCTGGGAAAGACCAGGCCATCAATGGTGCTATTTTCTTCCCCTTTATCTATTGATATAGCCCTAATTTGACACTTCTGTGCTGAACAAGCTTGTAAAGAGAGTCGTCAGCCCTGTAAGTTGCTTACATTTAGATTAGCCTTACGACTCACTGAAAGGGCCAGTTAAATGACAAATTAACTGATGCAGCTGCAAACATTCAAGTATATGAAATTAGCTTTATGCTGACTTGTGTCAATATAAACCCATTAATAGTTTCTTCTCAAAATAAATATTGTGCTTGAGAAGAATGTGGCATCTTCAGCACTGCAAGTATATGAGTTCTGGATATAGTCTATCTCCAAACTAATCCTTGTAAGCTGTAGAGTTTTTACCAGTCTTCCCAAGCATAGCAGCCTCCAAATGTGCTGGACCACAGTCCCTTTGGCCATTCTGACTGGCAAGTGTGAGAGTCATAGTTCAGCACATCTTGGGGGCATCAGGAGGGGGATGACTGATCTAAGGAATGAAAGACAAATTAATGCTTCTGAGGCTTCAGCAGAGTTCTTCCCCTCAGAGCCATGTTTACAGGCATTCCAGCTGGGTTCAGGGATCTTGAGAAATCCATTCCCCCCCCCCCTTCAAGGAAGGCAGGAAGTGGCTGAGATAGTGGTACATCACAAGTCTGAAGCAATAAGCCATGTGTACAATAGGTGAAGGGCTCTAGATATACTGACTTGATCAAAATACGCTTCCTCATAACCATGTAGAAATTGATGCCAAGTGTGAGTAATCTGGAGTGAATGTTGTTTTGAAACTTTATGATTTCCATCCAGGCAACCTGGATGCTGTCCAGGAGATGTTGTTGATGGGAAATTTCCAGGCCTCACCTGCTTTCCCTTCTTACACTCATTATCTTTACACCAGGACTTGGGTAGGCTACCCAGTCAAATAGAGCAGAAGGTGCAAGCTGTTTCTAGCTGAAAGGCCACACGTGGCCTTTGAGTGGCAACACGCACGGAATAATTTCTCCCTTCTATCACATTAAAATTATAACTTGGAACAACTTTTGGTGGTCCTAGGGGTTGCAATCCAAGGCTTTGGGGGCCCACATAGGGCCCTGGGGCTCCAGAATGGAATACATAATGCCTCGAAAATAATGATCATTCAGTGGCATTTGGCCATACTGTCATTAGCTAGACTAATCATGGAGAAGGTAGGCCACATAGGATGCAAAGGGAAATGACACTTTTAAATCTCTGGGTTGTCTGGGCTGTCCAGAGACATTCTCTTGACTTGAGCTTTTCCCCTGCTCACTTTCTTCTCCTTTTTTTCCATTAAAGGCAAAGAGCCGCAAAACGGATAGTACAGAAAAAACCCAAAAAATGAAATAACTCTTGGCACTAACTGATGACTTTTACTATCTTGAAGAGAAATGTCAGTCCATCTACTAGACTCAAATACAAATCCATATTTTGGATAGGGACTTCTCCATGTGTGGAGCTGGACAATTGTGTCCATATGTGGGGCTCTCCAAGTTCCACCCTCCTTTCTTCCCATAAAACCTAAGACAGGGTTGTTAGGAATATTAAACCAGGAATAGGGGAGGAGGAACAGGCACATTGCCTTGAACTCTTTGAAGAGACCCTGAGGCCAATGTGATAAATAATTAATTTCAAGGGGATTAAAAAATTGATGCAAAAGGTTTCCGAGTCAGTGTACTAATATATTTTACACAATATTTTGGAAAGCATTTCACAGGTCCAGAAACAATGTTGATTTCATGATGGTGGTGGAGGAGCAGCAATCATTTTGTCCCACAATATTTTGCGTCTGCTACAATAGGAACCCAGACTGTTCCAAAATCTATCTTAAAACCTGTTTCTGAAACATCATTTGAAAACTGGAAAGCCAGCAGATTTTTCTGTCCACTTGAAAAAAAAGAAGCGGAGAGGCCAGTCCTTCATCTATTATCTCTCTGTTTGCCCAATATATTACTCTCTTTCTGATTTTAACAGCAGGGAACTTTAATTCCTTTCAGATCTTGCCCTTTAGGTTGAAAACTTCCTAAAGTGGTTAATTTACAGACATATAGCAATACTGCCATCTTTTGGTGAGAGAGAATATTTGCACTAAAAGCTGGTCAATAAACAATATGTTACATTAAAATAATGAATAAATGAATAGATTTATCCTGTGCATATGAACTCAGAAATAAATCCCATTGATTTCAACTGTTCTTACCTTTAATAAGTATGTATAGAATATCAGCCTAAATCATGATCTCCTATCTTTGTATCCAGTGTTGATATTAAATTAATTAAAATGCAGTTAACATGCATGATTTTTCATCATTTTTATTATTTGCAGTTAAAATTAAAACTCCATTTCTGTAAACAAAAATAAAAATAATTTTCTGTAAATAAAAATTATAATTAAGCAAATATGGTTAGGGAGATTTGGGGGGCTACATCCACAGCTGGGTGAGTACCTGTGGCCCCAGAGGGCACCTCTGTGCTAGAGTGTTCAAATCAGGATCAATCTGTGGAAAAAGCTTATCA